CACAGCACTCCAGTGTGGATCCAGGGACGCCGGCGACGGGCCTCCTCAGGCCTTCCTCGGGCGGCAGCAGTCCAGCGCGGGCCCGGGAGACCAGCGACGAGCCTCTTCAGGTCTCCCCTGGGCCACAGCGCTTTGGAGCTGGGGGCAGGGCTTGCCGCCACCGCCATTTGTGCCAGCTCCAGCACACTCTGCCCCCAGATGACCCCTGGTTTTTAGCATCCGAAACATGGTTTTGAGATTTTTTTGGTGGGGGGGACCTTGCATCTCAGAAATTATGGTTTGTTCCATGAATCTCTGACTGGAAAACATTGTGTTTTATTGAATGTTCTAGAATGAGAAACAGGCTTCTAAGTGAAAGCCCCACCATGTTGCACAGGGTTGCGAAATCCGGGTTGGGGGATTGGACAGTAGAGCTTGTGGAGGGCAGAGTTTTCAGAAAGGATGGAACTCGGCAGGGATGTGATGCCCCAGAGTCTACCCTCCGAAGCTGCCATTTCCTGTTGAGGAAGTATTCTCTATAGTCTGGAGACCAGTTGTTATTCTGGTAAGGTCTCCAGGCCCTACGTGGAGGTTGGTAACCTTAGGAGACGATGTTTTTTGTAGTAGTATCTCTGATAGTGTCTGGTGGCTTCACTGGGTTAAATGTCTAAAAAGGGAGGTGCCAAGAGCTAAAGTCTGCTTGGAAGTCGTGCTCTTTGGCCCTCAAGCTTTCTCTCATTAATCACAGGGGATTTGTGAGGCACGTTGGTGGTTATTCAGAGGTGAGAAAAGGACTGCACTGTGTCTGCCTTGTTCTGCTGCTGAGCAGCTTAACAGGGAACAATGGAAACAAAGCTCCGCAGCTTCTAGCTTTCTCTCTCTCCCCCCCCCCTCCCATGTCAAAGGTTTGCATGGGCGCTTTCTACCCCTCAAAATGGCCGCTTGGAAGATGTGTGAAGGAACTGAGAGTTATCCTTTTGTTTCCTTTCTTGGCAGCTCCTAGAACATTTAAGGCAATGGCTGCTTCTCCAATTTTCCTGGTCTCCCCCTTTTCCCTCTCTTATTTCTCAAGGGCCTATGCAATGTTCCCTCTAAGCGGTGGAGTCCTGTGAGCAAAAATTCTACTTGGTGAGCTACTGGCATTAAAGTTGTGAGCGAGCCATTTGGCTACTGCATACATTAGTTTGCTCTGGAGCCATCCTTCCTGAACTAAGACAAAAATGTGTGAGCCAGAGGCTAAAAAACTGTGAGCTAGCTCACACTAACTCAGCTTAGAGGGAACACTGGGCCTATGTATTATTTAGTAAGACGCTGAACTGCAGGCTGTGGAAGGTCAGTAGTTCAGCAGTTCAAGACCCGGGTGCCGCAAGACGGAGTGAGCTCCCATCTCTAGTTCCAGCTCCTGCCAACCTAACAGTTCGAAAGCAAGAAATTGCAAGTAGATAAATAGGTACCACTTCGGTGGGTAGGTAACAGCGTTCCGTGCGCCTTGGTGTTTAATCATGCTGGCCACATGACCACGGAAACGTCTTCGGACAGCGCTGGCTCTTCGGCTTTGAAACGGAGATGAGCACCGCAACCCTAGAGTCGGACTCGACTGGCTTTCGAGCAAGGGAACCTTTACCTTTACCATCTATTACAACCAGTAAACTTATTGCAATAAAATATGTCCACTGTTTATAAAACTCTGAGGAGAAAATATCTTTTCGGATTTGTAGGAACCACCTTCCCAGATTACCTTTGAATCTCTGTCGAAAGGTGCGATGCAAAGGGCACGTGTTACTATTAATACTTACCTTTGTCACCCCCAGTGCAATGTGAACCTGGGTTAAAAAAAGAAACCTCTGTTCTCTCTGGCATGGTAAAATGCTGTCCATTTATGTTTTTTTTAAACTTGTTCTTTCCCTTCTCTGTTTCTTTTCTTTGGTGACCATATAGCTGAAGAAGTGGAGAGGCTGGCTGCAATGCGCTCGGACTCTCTGGTTCCGGGGACCCACACCCCTCCAATTCGGAGGAGAAGTAAGTTTGCCACTTTAGGACGAATTTTCAAGCCATGGAAATGGAGGAAGAAGAAGAGCGAGAAATTCAAGCACACGTCTGCAGGTAATTAGAGCAACTGCTGTTTTTGATGGAGGATGCTTTACTGTAAAAGAGAAGCGAGGGAAATCCGAATTTACCGGGTACAGATTAGTTGTGTTGCACATGACAATGATGAGGGCATATCCACATGGTGGCCGGCATCCAATGTTCTAGGCACAGAATGCAGAGTTTTCCTGCATTCCTCTCTGTTCGTGTAGTCCTTTCTGGATACTGAAAGATCATTGCCAGGGTTATGGGTCAAGGTGGAGGAATAGCCGCACAGGCCAGGGGGCTATTTGTTTATTTACTTAATGTATATACTATGTTTCTCCTCAGCAGGGGTCCAAAGAAGGTTATATCATTCTCCTCTCCTCCATTTTATCCTCACAATAACCTGAGCTTTCCTGGGGGCACCTGCTTTGGGGGGCAATAACTCAGGCATCCCAAATCCAGTCTTCACCAAACTTGGAGGGCACGTAGAGGAGAGCCTGCTGAAGACTCCCAGTGAGTTTGTCATCTCTAACTCATGAGGGGGCTGTTCTACCACCTCCTGAACTCATGAACCAAACAAACCATGCACCAGTTTTGGAAATGGGAAAAGTTTGAGAAAGTTCATGGTTCGTGTAATCAAATGAATCATGAACCACCACGAACCACCATTTTCCAGTCTGTGCCCAGCCCTATTGTCCAGCAATTAGTTACTAAAGGAGAAGATGGAATGCCACTTGCTTGGGGGCAGCTGTGCCCTTCGTGTGATATTGGTGGGTTTCTTAACAACATCTGGTTTGCCACTGTAGAAAATGCAATGCTGGACTAGATGGGCAACAAGGTCATCATTCACTTTGGGTGCCGAAACACCTGGCCCTGGATGGGTCACTATAGCAAGTAAATTTGTACCTATGGGTCACCATACCAAAAAGGTTGGGAACCACCGGTCTAGCCCACCTCCTCTGTCCTGCCAATGCCCTTCAATCAAGGCTTGCACAACTGTCTCAGCCAATATCTTCTCAATCATTCTTGCCAGAACCTTTGAATTTGACAGAAAAGGTGGATTGCCCACAGGCCAAGGGAGAGAGACTGATGCTAACACAATGGAGACTGAAAAGGTCATAGCAAGAAAATATCCTCAGTATCATCAGTGCCAACAGCTACACAGTTTAAAAACACATCTGAAAGCCTGCAGGAAATACAGACCTAGTGCCTGTATTTAAATTGTTATTGCTAAAGGATAGAACAAACACAGTTTTACTTATTTACTACTTTAAATTGTGACCCTTGGATTTCAAGGATATGCCCCTTCCTAGAATTCTTGCTGAGTATCACTAAGAAGCAGAAAATGCATTCCAAGCAGTTTCCAGGAAATGGAAAGCTTAGTTAGTTTACGTGGATAATTGGATCTTCTTCAGCAGTTTTCATTTTGCACGGGAGACTTTATTAGCCTAAAGCCTTTTGCATTTAATTGTTCCAAGCTTGCCCTTGTACAGCCTTATAGGGTTATGACTCTGTCTGTGTGTGTGTGTGTGTGTGTACATGCCACCAAGTTACTTCCGGCTTATGGCGGCCCTATGCTCAAGTGGTTAAGACGCTGAACTGCAGGCTGTGGAAGGTCGGTAGTTCCAGCAGTTCGAGACCCGAGTGTGCCGCGTGACGGAGTGAGCTCCCGTCTCTAGTTCCAGCTCCTGCCAACCTAGCAGTTCGAAAGCAAGACATTGGAAGTAGATAAATAGGTACCACTTCGGTGGGTAGGTAACAGCGTTCCGTGCGCCTTGGTGTTTAATCATGCCGGCCACATGACCACGGAAACGTCTTCGGACAGCGCTGGCTCTTCGGCTTTGAAACGGAGATGAGCACCGCAACCCTAGAGTCGGACTCGACTGGCTTTCGAGCAAGGAAACCTTCACCTTTACCTTTTAAAACGTCCTATCATTGATCGCCATGCTCAGGTCTTGCAAACTGAAGGCTGTGTCTTTATTGAGTTAATCCATTTCATGTTGGGTCTTCCTCTTTTCCTGCTGCCTTCAGCTTTTCCCAGCATCATTGTCTTTTCCAGTGACTCTTGTCTTCTCAGGATGTGACCGAAGTACGATCACCTCACTTTAGTCATTTTAGCTTCTAAGGAGAGTTCAGATGATTTGACCTACAACCCACTGATTTGTTTTTTGGACGGTCTACAAGATCCATAAAACTCTCCACCAGTACCACGTTTCAAATGAATCAACTTCATGATTATTATTGGTTATGATTGGTTCTAGTCAGGGCTATTTTGGGGCAGGAACGCACAGGGACGGAGTTCCGGCTGGCTCCCAAGTTGGCCACGCCCAGCAGGAACTCATTAGCATAATAGGCCACACCCAACAGCAGGAACTCATTAGGATTGGCTACGTTAGGGGTGTGTGGCCTAACATGCAAAGGAGTTCCTGCTACAAAAAAAGGCCCTGGGTTTTGACAGCAAACAAGGTAAACAGAATAACAAGCAAAAGGTGGGTGTGGCTGGATGAGCACACTTCTGGTAACATGGGGGTGCAACCTAATGTGCTAATGAGCTGTGCTGTCATGGGTGTGGCCCAATATGCTAATAGGTTCCTGCTGTTGGGTGTGGCCTATTATGCTAATGAGTTCCTGCTGGGCTTTTTCTATAAAAAGAGCCCTGGTTCTAGTAAAATGTGAAATGGATTCCCTTTTCAAGTATTGAAGGACTTTCCTATTAAGAATGGAACTCCAGCAAATGCAGAAAACTTTCCTGTTCCAGCAGGCACTGGAAATTCCTGGCCAAGCAGGGACCTTCCTCCTCCTCTTCCCTCTCAGAGAGAACCAGTGGCCCAGACAAACATGAAGTCCAGTCTCTTCTACTTTGCGTAGAGGCAGGCAAGAAAATGTTTCAAATAAACATTTCTAGAAACTAAGTTATTAACGGTGTAATCCTAAACAGAATTAACATCCTTCTTAAACTCATGCGTTTAGAAGGGTGTCATTCTTCTTAGGATGCCTGTCTTAATCATCTTGGAGGCAATGAACTCGGAGTTTGAAATGCTTCTGTCCTTTGATGCACGTGGTGCAAATAAAACACATTTGCTTCAGTCCATGGTGCTTAAAAATGCCATTGTGGATGCTTAATCTTGTGCAAGCAGATACTGCCCCCATTCTTGTCAATGCTGGGGACTGTTTTGCACATGCAAGGGAGATGCGAGGGTCCCTCCTTTCCTCTTAAAACTGCCTCTTTCAGTATCCATTGTATCTGTCTGCATCAGAGGAAGATGGAAGACAGTGAAGCCCACTTTTTCCAGAGCAAATGCCATTTAGCTTCCCCCTTCCTGGATTGACCTTCTGCAGTGGCTGTTCCAACCTGCTTATTATTTAGCCATTATGGAAGAGTTGGCACCCAGATTTATTCATTCATTCATTTATTTCACTTCTCCAGCCTTTTTTCTCCAGTGGAGACCAAAAGCGGCTTACATTGTTCTCCTTTCCTCTATCAAGAAGAAGAAGAAGAGATTGAATTTATACCCCGCCCTTCACTCGGAGTCGCAGAGCGGCTTACAAACTCCTTTCCCTTCCCCTCCCCACAACAGACACCCTGTGAGGTAGGCGGGGCTGATTTATACCCCGCCCTTCACTACCCAAAGGAGTCTCAGAGCATCTTACAAACTCCTTCCCCTTCCCCTCCCCACAACAGACACCCTGTGAGGTAAAAGAAGAAGAAGAAGAGGAGATTGGATTTACACCCCGCCCTTCACTACCCAAAGGAGTCTCAGAGCATCTTACAAAATCCTTCCCCTTCCCCTCCCCACAACAGATACCCTGTGAGGTGGGTGGGGCTGAGAGAACTCTGACACAAACTGCTCTTTTTCAAGGACAGCTGTGCCAGAGCTTGTGGCTGACCCAAGGTCACATCAGCAGGTGCAAGTGGAGGAGTGGGGAATCAAACCCGGTTCTCCCAGATTGGAGTCCACGCACTTAACCACTACACAAACTGGCTCTATTTCATCCTCACAACAACCCTGCTCAGTAGATTAGGCTGAGAGTAGGTGACTGGCCCTATTTCAGCTTCCCTGGCGGAAGTGGGGATTCGAACCTGGGTCTGCCAGGTGGTGGTATGGCACTCTTTTTGTTGCTTGTTTTCATTGCCTCTGCCTATCCCTTTCCCCCTTTGTAATGTACCTATTATATTGCAATCTGGATGTTTTTCTTACTTACAAACACCTTGAGTACAGAATCGGTAAGGTCATATTTGAATGTGATAAATAAACTAACAAGACACTGAAGACTATACATAGAGCATTTCCTGCTACTGGAAGTAGGGTTGCCAAGTCTGATTTTTGCCGCAGCGGGGGACTCCTGGCTGGCGGCTGGAGTGCGCGCACATCCACGTCACCAGGAAGTGACGTGACGAGGCCAGGCACGCTGGGGGCAGGGCGATGACCATCCGAGGGAAAAACATAGAGTTTCCCCTGGGATGACCGTGGTCCTGCCCCCAGCGTGCCCAGCGTGGTCGTGTCACTTCCGAGTGACGTGCACGTTGGGGTGGGGTTCCCCCGGGGCCCGACCCCCCGGGGGGACTTGGCAAGCCTAACTGGAAGGGGAGTTTCCCACGTGCACGCGGTGGGTGCTGTGTCAGTTCAATTGGCCATGTGTCTTTAATCAGTGTTCTCTCAGGAATGTTAAATTAATTGTTTGGAACCGTGCTTTATTTTATTTTATTTTATTTTATTTTTTGCCTTACGGCATTGTAAAATTCTACCGGTTGTTGTGTCTATACAGGGGTCGTTTCGTAGAAAAAGAGCTAGGGGAACTCATTAGCATAACTCATTAGCATATGCCACACACCCTGACATCAGGGGCCCAGCGGTGGACCTGCAAGGCCGGCGGGAGTGCGAGGAAGCCCCGCCAAGGCCCTCCCTGGCCCCAGGCAGGCAGGTGTGGGGAGAGGCGGGGAGGAAGCAACTTACCCTCCCTCTTCTCCTGCCTCCTCCTGGCTGAATGAGGGCTGGAAGCGGGGCGTTTGGAAGCAGGGGCGGGGCTTCGTC